ATTTCGGTTAACAGAATATCTAAAAACAGTAACTGATGTGCTATGCGGGTAGTATTTTGAGGCCACGTATGATGTTCGCTTTACAGATGTCATACAAGTGGCAGAAAAGTTGGGAAAGTTGATAGTGTTTTTGCACATACATGTAGAATGTTAACAGGTCATTTCGGATTTAAACGTGAGAACTTCGTCTCTTCATGTTGTTTAGTGGCGCTAAGAATCGTGTGTAGTTTACGCAGCAATCTAAACTCTGCCGGAAGTGAGTTAATTTTGTAGGCTTGTCTTCCGTTTCCTGGTCTGAGGATGTATTTTTAATGAGGCGTTAGGAGCTTTCCCTCAAAACAAAAGATGACGAGACATCCTGTTTTTAAGGAGACAGTCCATGTTTTTTTCCTTATTTGATAATTTAGAGATAGAGATATAATGCATTCGCTCTCTGCGTCACTAATGAAAATCGAACTATTTATCCGAGTTTTCCTTAAACCATGCTGTTGCAGGCCAACCAGCTTCATAAAGTTGTATTTATGTTTAACTGCATTTAGAATGTCATATAATGCCATTGATATAGCGATTATCGACCTAAAGACTTAAATTCAGGCCCGGGGGCCAACTGTCTTGGCTAAAGCTTGTCGTGTTCTTTTTCAGTCTCTCAAGCCAAATGTTCTGTTGGTAAGCCCACCGAAAGAAAGCCACAACCTCTTCCTGCCACGTCCCTTACAATTCATCATCCAGAATCGTTCTGCTATTCGTCGCTATGTAAACCATGCAGCTGAAATGAAATAGTTATATAATTAAAGAAATTACTATTCTCTTTCCATTTACAACTTGTCTTCGAAGACGAGAGGGTCGGTGTTCACATTCGGAAGCTACGAGTATGTTTCCTGGCGTGAATTTGAAGATTAAACACTGAATTATTAAATTTCTGGTCAGTGGTGAATCACATACCAAAATCTACGGAGAGTTTGAACTGAACGGCATTATTGTGGTGACCATTTCAACGTATAGAGACAATGCTAAAAGGAAAATGGTGCAAAGGTGATCACGGATGTCAGCTCTAAAAATGTAACTTTATGTATACATCTGAATGAATTATTTCGGAAACAAGACGTCTGTGAGGTTCGCACAGTGACGAATATGAATATGGCTGCCTTATAGCAATTTGCACTATGTATTCTGGTGGAAACATGTTTCTGAGAGGCCTGCCTGCTTCCATCATCAAGGTGGTGATAGAGGCAGTGATCTCCTCTAGAGAAAGAACATTACCAGGAAAACCAGACTATACGGCGCAACGTGTCAGAAGGCAGCTACTTTGAACAAGTCATAAGCAGCTTGGCCTGAAGTTTTTCATATACTCAACTTTCTAAACTGTTTTAATTATGCTTCAGTACATCACCACATAGGCCTGGCACAAAATGCTTTGAACCTAACCTAACCTAACCTAACCTAACCTTACATAATCACAACAGAATATACGAATGGCTGGATAATTAGTCACTCATATGCTCTTTTGTGATTATATATTTACCCAGTGCAGTGGCAAAATGAACATAAGGACATGCGACTTGAGTGTATCAGCTCAGTCCACAATCATTGTAGCCTTCCGGATCTCTCATCGTATCGAAGTGGGAAGATTTCCCAACGTTACCATTGCTTAAACCCTGAAGTAGGAGGTTAAAAATTCCTCCGAAACATCGATAACTTTGTCACTTTGACGCGGTGCTATGCCCAAAAGAGTAAAATGTATGGTCTGTGTTTCCGCTTTAATTAGCACGCGTAATAACTTTGACTTGTATTCCCGTGGAAACATTCCGCTGAAGACCCGGGCATTGTCTGCCTAATGAGAAATTGCTGCTACATGCCCCTGAATAATAATGGGCCTTACGGACAACTTATGTAATTGCCATGCGTAGATAAATTATTACTCCTCTTTAGCTCGCGAAACTTGGTTCAGGTGGGGGGGGGGGGGGGGGCGATGGTGGCTCCTCTGCAGGTTGGCTTTAGAAAATGTCGTAAGTTTTGTAAAGAAAGACACGGAAGGAAAGGAAAATAAGACAAAGGCATAGAGAAAGACAAAAAAAGTTTTGACTAAACTTGCTGTTTGTATAAACTTAGAAGGGGTTACGATAGATTGGTTGTGTAGTTCTGATGTGGGATGCAATCGCTTCAAAGACCCAGAAGGGGGTGAAAGTATTCCTGTGATATTTATATGAAATTCATGAAAAACATTTCTGTATGTGAGGAACTTGGTTTATTACAGTAGAGGAAGGACATGGATTGAAGGTGAAGGAGAGCAGGATACTGAGGAGAATATTTAGACCTAAGAGGGAAGATGTAATGGGAGACTGGAGAGACTGATGAACTTTCTAATTTATATTTATCACCAAGTTTGTTTAAGGTGTTCAGATTTAATAAGGATAAGCAATGCATGCAGTTTGCGTGGTAGAGGCGAGAAGTCCATACAAACATTCAAGTAGAAAGCCTGAAGAGAAATGGCTAAGTGTGAGACCTAGGTATAAACTGGAGGATAATATTAAAATATGTCTTAAAGAAGTTTGATACGAGGATGTGTGCTAGATCCGTACGGCTGGGTGATCACAGCAATGAGCCTTCAAGTCACATAAAAGGCAGCAAAGTTTATTTTTTATTTCTATGAGGACTGGATGTGCATTAACTGATTAAGGTTCGTGTATTTGGTTTTCACGGTATTAAATCTTCGGGCCCCATGATTAGTTGATTGCTTTCTTGCGCCATTATAATTTTAGATCTGCGAAAACGTTAGTCATTTCAGTAGTTTATAAAGAATTCTCAACACAGTGTAGAGCCGCTGCCAACATATGATCTCTTCCTTATCAACAGTTATGATATTCAGTCTCAGTTGACGCTAAGTCTTATCCTCATTGTTAATTGCTTTATTATGTTGTTATTTAACTTTTATTTCCGGCTGCATGACTTAGTGTTATAGCTTGCGCTAAATTAACCTGTTACGCCGCATAACATGAAAACTGAATAGTCCTCACTACTCAGCCTCCCGCTTTCTTCCATCAACACTACTGCTACATCGCCACTCTACTCGTAGCTACCGCCTTGCTCTTAATACGACTCGGCAGTCCGAATTCCTGGAAAACTCTCCTCCTGATGTCATGCTGACGTGGCAGCTCTGCTCTTGGAGGAGTCACAGCGCTTTTCCCCACTTCGTTTCCGTCTCCAGAAAGTAGAGGAAGTTGGATTGCACATAAAACTATCAGTGTTTAAAGGATGTTTCGAGCTCTGGGACTACAGATAGAGTAACTGTGGTTCATGTGATAGTTATGACGTCACCTTGCGTGTTTCATTTCGCCGCCCTCTGCTTCTGTCCTCTTAGTTCAACCTTTTCTCCGCAATATGCAGCAGATTTATTTCTCAGGCCGTAGGATGATTTAATTTCTCTGCTTTATGCTGGGGTTCTTCGCCTTGTAGACTCGTTGTAGATTCCAACATTTCGGAGAAGCAAAACTATTGTCAGCCCTGATGTTAGAGGCGGTATTTTTCTCCTAAACGTTGGCGTCTGCCTGTAAGTCTACATGGCACCGAAAGCCAGAAGATCATGATCAATATTCATAATTGCTTCCACAATCCTTGCTCGAAAACTAGTTTGCTGATGACAGGCGGAGGAAATTAAACACTGCGTACCCATGACACACCAGTACATACTGTGTGAGTTTGATTATCTCTGTTGTAATCAAAGTCTATAGCTGGCATGAGCCCATCGTCACTTTTTGCCGACCACTTAAAAGTTTCGAACACGTTTAATTCAAGACTAATCCATATGATGTGTAAAATATTGAGGTGTTTTATTTTTTAACATTTAAAGATCAGTATTTTTAGTTGTTTACTGCTCTAGCCTAGATTTCGGACTTAATTTTTTTAACAGAGTTTTGAAGCGTCCTGTGTGATGGGAATGAAAATATAGTAATTTTTGAAGGATGGATCGTGACGTATTTGAGAGTGTTAACCCCAGCATTTGTGTTAGTCAGGATAGAAGGTCTGCCAGCCTAGAATCGAGGCCGGATCTTAGAAATATAACGTAGAATAGCTAAGCACGTACCATGACGTTTTGTGGATTTGCATGCAGGGAATGATAACTAGAATTAAATTCGTGGTTTCGTTGAATACGAGCTGCGGGCAACAGGGCGACACAGTCAGTTGATTGATCGTGCTGGTAACAGGAACAGGATGACGGTATTGATCCAGGCCTACCGAGGCAGATCGTCTGCGTGCTGCCGTACCTCTGCATTTTTTCCCCTAAAGGCGTTTGCTGACGGAGAATATTTACCAGTCGAACTTTGACGATAGTGCATTATAATCCGTAAAATTGTTCTTTGGCCTTTGTCCATCATCTTAAAGTACAATATTATAAAACTGCAACGTTTCGGAAGCTTGATTCTGCCTTCGTCTTCAGATGGAAATGGGAGGGGGGAGAAGAGGACAGAAACCTATCAGTTGGAACCCCCCCCCCCCCCCCCCCCCCCCCCCCCAGGTCGTAGATTTATAATTCTATAATTCAGACGATGGACGAAGGTCAAAAGAATAGTAACATGAAGCAAACATTTACAACCGGACTTCTTCATCGTGATTTTCTTCAGCCCCCATTCAAGCAAATGCCGGTATAATCTTTATAATATTTTAAATATGAATTTTCCTATTTTCTACTTTTAATGTGATAAGTGAATATCACCATGTCAAACGCGAATTGCCCAATTCACGCATATTGGCTACCACTGAGCTTCACAATTAAATGGTTTTTACTCCTTCGTATTTGGTTATTCCCCGGTTCAGATCTTGGCCCGAAACTAAATATAGTTAAGTTTTCGTAGAGACCCTCACGCCCTTCAGACAGATGCTTAAAATAGGCCACGATTGTTACCACAACGTTCCCATTTCACCATTAACACTATTACTCTACAATTCAACACTACGTAAATTATGCGATTAAAGAAGTGTCTCAACTCTTTGTTTGTTTACAGAAAGAACTGTATCCCAGAAATGTTAGGTTTCAAGAAATGTATCAGATGGGAACATTTTGTTAAGATGTCACTGACTCCATGTGAAAATTACATGACTAAGCAGGTACGTCTTCTTTGAACAGCTGTTAATTATTTAGCTTGACAAGGAGTTTCCTGCTTTATCGAATTCGTAGATTTATTACAGCCATCAAAAACCGCGCTGGTTGATGCCCTCTTCTGAAAAGCAAGTACCGAGACGTAGTCAGAACGGATGAAGGGAACTGTACATGGAAACGCAAATCGATGTCTGTTTTATCTGCCATATTTGTTATTCAAATCGTCTGGCAGTTGGATCATCAGATAAATTTATATGCCTCGTTGGAGCATAGCTCACGTGCTCTTTCCCATGTTGTCACAAACTTGTTATTGTAATTATTATTTTCTGTATCATTTATTTTATTATATCATCTCAGCTTTCATATTGTGCTAGTAAGAGTAACATGGCCAAGTTATTTTGTTAATTCGGTGCTGCTGTGTAACATTATGCTGAAACAGCATCGTTGTTTAAGCTGATAATTAAATGAAACCTATTCGAAATTGTACAATGCGTCATACCATTGCGAGAGTTTTCAGTACTTAGTAAATGCACATTTTGTTAATTTATCTAGCGGTCAGAACGCTGGCCTTGTAATCCTGGGGTCTCGGGTTCGATTCCCGGCGGTGCCCGAATTTATAACTTGTGTTGGGCAAGGCCGTGGTCTAGGCAACACGGAGTTTTCCTCCGGGGGCTTCCCCGGTTTCTCCGTGGCATCCCAACAATTACTCCACTCACACACAGAAGAAGGCAATGGCAAACCACCTCTGGATCATCTGCCAAGAACGTATATGAAAAGGTCCCAGTCCGAGAAAAGGATGGAAGGATCATGTTCATATGGACCTGTCGTCAGACAGAACACAAAATAATAATAAGATGAGGTGGTCTAGCGGGTAGAACGCTGGCCTTGTAATCCTGGGGTCTCGGGTTCGAATTTATAACTTGTGTTGGGCAAGACCGTGGTCTAGGCAACACGGAGTTTTCCTACGGGGGCTTCCCCGGTTTCTCCGTGGCATCCCAACAATTACTCCAATCACACACAGAAGAAGGCAATGGCAAACCACTCCTGGATCATCTGCCAAGAACGTATATGAACAGGTCCCAGTCCCAGTCCGAGAAAAGGATGGAAGGATCCTGTTCATATGGACCTGTCGTCAGACAGAACACTAAATAAATAAATAAATCTGGTGGTGGGTGGGTTAAAAAAGTGGTAGGAGAAAATAAATGTGTATTGCAATGTATCGCTTTTATTAAGTGACTTCATGCGTATTCTTGGTTCTTTTTAGCAGCTTTAATAACAGCCCTGAGACATGTTGGCGATCTGAAAACCAAGTTCTGGTTGGAACCTTTGTACAGAGCAGGTGGGGCACTTCCATTTCAGTGTGAGGCAACATTACGCCTCTCACGTCACACATTGATAGTGTATTTCTGGCTGAATGCGAATGGAATAAATCTTACAGCATGTCGGAACGAATATTTGGTCAATCCTGATTTTGCAAACGACATACAGAGTACGAAACGGAGCCCTATTGGTTTAGCATATCTATTTACACTAGCCGCGACGCAACTGTGCGTTTCGCCTACTCCAATAACGTGCGGGTAGAAATAAAACAAACACTATGTAAACCAAAAACATTGCCGGTACAGGAACTCAGACAACGACCTACGGAGTACTGCCGCTGGGAAACAAAGTTTTTTGCGTGAATAGTATACGCTCCTACATCGTCAATCAGAAGTGCGTAAACCAGATATTGTGGAATTCATTGGATGTCGGCGTCGCCAACGTGCATTACTCATTTACCAATGACGGTGTGATTCACCATCCATCTCCCACATCCTTAGTTCTTCTACGACGTGTCCGATTGCATTGTTCCACGTGAAAAAAGTGTCCTAAGATATTGCTGTGCCAAGGAGCTGACGCGTGACGCATTTCACGCAGTTTTGAAGGTTGATTCTTTGTGAATCGGTTTGTGACTGCGACCGCAAGTTTGCATTGTGTAAATAAAGTTATGCAGTCAGATTCTACGCGCGCGCACCACAATGTTATATAGACATGTATTTGTAAGCTGTAAAATTACAATTATTAGTATTACTTATTTTTCGCGAATAGTGTTTTGGGGTAAATGAACAAAGTATATAATAATACTAATTACGAATGCCATTTAAAATCCACCAGTCGTTATTTTTTGGAACCCTGAAAAGTACAGTGCGTTTAACTCTTGTGTATGGTTATTGTATGATTCACAGAATAAACAGCGCTTACCTTCCTTAACAGTATTAAACAATCTTTTTTTTAATGGAGGCGCCTTGTGCTGTCATTGCGGTACGGACTGGATTGTTAAATACTCTTTGGACAAGTTTCGGTTTCAAAGGGTTAGTAACATTGCGTCAGTTGTAATTCCGTTCTTTGTTTAAAAAAAACTGGCAACGACCAACTGGCATCGTTACTAGTGTTAAAGTGGACACATGCCAAATATAAAATGCCACGAATTGAAGTTGGCTTCATTCGTAAAAAAGCGTGGCCTCATAAAATAAGAAATTACAAGGCTGTAAGCCTACTATAAAATTACAGGACATAATTATTCCGTATGTGACGTTTTAACGTAAACTCGTAACAAGGAAACATCTTCGTAATTTCAGAGTGGTGACATCTGTATCTCTTCCCACTGAAACATTTCCTCCTCCGTAACTTCAGTAAAGATTACGCATATGTAAACGTTGTTTAGATAGTAAAGAATTGTATATTTGTGAGTGTTTTTCTGCGGTATAGTCTAAGCTGAAGGCACCGAGGTAGCTCAGTCATCATAGTGTCTTGACTGCGGACTGGACAATTTGAGTTTTATCCCCGGTAGAGGTGAAGGATTTTTCATATTGTCTCTGCGTCCAAACCTACTGTGGGGGCCACCCAGCCTTTTATGCGGTGGGTATCGGGGGTACAGCTTGGCCGGGGCATGACGCTGACCACTTACCCCCCATCTAGTGACGAGGTCAAGAACGAGTAGGAGCTGTAACTCGTCCGTGGCGTGTAGCGAGACAGATTTCTCACGCAGTTTCAGCAACGGTTTTCGGTAACTCCGTCATTCTGTTCCAAAATAATAAAATAAATAAATAAATCCGTGGCGTAACAGACCTCTGAGAGCCAAAGCCGACTAGCTTGACTGCTGGCCTCACGTTCACATGCCTAAGCAGAGGTGAACGATCAGCCAACCAGATATAGGGTGACGTTTGGTCATCACGACGAACCCCCAGTCATTGTTAGTTTTCGTGACCGGATTACGCTACCGATTGTAGCTCCCCAATTTCCTCACGATACTGGGTTGGCACCGGTCCCATACACCGGTCGAAAATCTCATGAAAAATTTCTTCTCTCCCGAGACTCGAACCAGCGCGCATTCCGTGTCGCCGGTCCGAAGCATGATGCCTCAGACCGCGCGGCTACGGCGCGGGACCTTCCAAAATAATATTGTAAAGAATCATGAAAGATGAAATTTGAATGATATGATTAAGAACTGCGGTGGACTATTACTATAGTAGATTCACAGGTGAAGGATTCGGACCGCATAACAGATATTTGTGCGTGGAGTTGAAAGAGTAACTGAGGAACACTGAAAGGACTAAATGTATTTTGGACATTAATAAATTTTTTAAAAAATGGTATTTTCCGAGTGCCAGAGGATAGAGTACTACATAGGTTTAAAACAGGCCGAAATATTAATTAACTGGTTACTTAACATTATATCATCTCGTAGAGTGATGTGTTGTAAAGATAAGGGAGTTGAAGTTTGTGACCCTGGACTCTTTTAAAAGATTGGCACAGTACAGTGGACGCATAACTCCGAGCCTAGATTAATTATATCAAATACAAACTTTTGAGGGAGGAGAAGACTGCGAAGTGATAGCACATACGGAGGAAGAGATTACCCAGTCCGTCCTTGTACACTATCAGATGTGAAATTATTACGTTCAGGCCGGAGAAGTAGCACATGCAGGATAAGGCGTGTTCTATAGTTGCTTTGGTTCACACACACACAAAGAAACAACAATGTACTGCTAAATTCAGTGCATGAAAAATGAAGGCGTAAGAAATCCGACCCCCACCTTTCCCTGTCCATCTTACCTTCTTTTACTGTGACGTAGCTGAAGCTCAGAGCTATTCTGCGTCTATTGAAACTTTCTGAACATAAGTCAGGGATTTGCCAATGAACCTACCTTAATCTGCAGGGTACAACACGAAAGGAAAAGAATACGTGGGAAGATGAACTTATGTTTGTGAGGACGTTAACTGGTTGAGAATGTGGCTCTGTAGCAGGTTTTTATGAACACTGTTGCATCAAATTCTCTAAAAGCAAGAAGTTTCTTAACTGATTGGATAACTTAGGATCCATGCACTGCTTAAGTTTGTATAGTCGGCTAATCGATTTACAGTCGTGTTATATATACACGTATAACATTTCACAGTGCATTTAAGTCAGCACCTCTCAGGTAGCTGAGCAACTTGACTGGACTGCACTGGCACGTCCACAAGGGCGCGATGCGAAATGGTCTTCTGCGTACAATGAGCTGTAATTGTTTACTTCCCATAAGAAGCATTGTGACAATTTATGTAACAACCGAGTTCACTTGGTTCGTCTGTGGCGCGGTTTTAGTCTGGTCCGTTTATTCCTGACATCCCGTTTTCAGTACTCTTGTGTTTACGTTAAACGTGGCTGGTTGAGTTCCTCCTGTGTTGGAGTATAAATTCTGGATAATTTATTATTTCTTCGCTTCTAATGCGGGACTTACATCCTCGCCTGTTGCATTGTGATTTTATTTTGTTTTTATGATCGGTAGACGTACATTTTTTGTTGAATCTGGAAACTGTTCTAAAATTATGTATTAACTATTTAACGGAGCAATATAACATTTAGAACGTTACATCTCGTTTGATGGTAAAACAGCGTCTCTGTAAATTCACTTCATTGCCCAGTTTTAATGTTTTCCATTTTTAGGTATAGGTACGTTAAGTTTTTTGACGTAAATACGTCTATAAGGAAGGGTCATTCAGCAAAAAAGTGTAACGAAAAAGGGGAACGAAAAAAGGAAACGAAAAAGTGTAACCGCATTGTTGTTACCTAGGAAATGTCAATTGTTTACTCGGCATTGTTGTGTTACATTACTTTCGTTATTGCGGGCAAGAGCTGAGCTGTGATTCGCTTGTAGAAGAAGTGCGTCGTAGAGTAGATAATTTTGTGCAGGTAAAAACGTATTAGAATATCACAGGTACTTATCTTATATAAGAATTATTAAGAAATCTATTGTTGCGTTAGTTTGTTGCGTCATACTATGTACAAGATGGATGACATTGAAGCTAAAAGACTCCATAACGCAGAATATATGAGACAGTACAGACAACGTTGAAAAATAGAATTATTAAATAATGAACTCCAGAGCGTATGGTCAATGGTGAAAAAGTTTTAATTGTAACCCTGTATATTTGTAACCACAAACCTATTGATGATGGTAAGAGATTTATTTTGAGTCATTTGAGAAATTATACAAAGATGTTTTCAGTTATGGCCACTGAAGATCCTAATAAAATGCCGATAATATTGACAAGAGATTTTAACAATGATTCCTTTCCGTATAGACATATTTACGTCAAATTCTCCGGAACCATGGTTCCACTATCACTTTTTAATAGGCTTACTTATTATAATGTAGGCTTCGAGTTGAGAATAATATTAAAATGGAGCTTAGTGAACTAGAATGATGAGGGTATGGGATGGATTTATCTAGCTCAGAATCTGGTCAGATTTTCCGTTTTGAATACATTATGAGACTTCAGGTGCCATATATCCAGAGAATCTCTTGGCCATCTGATCAACTGTCAGCTTTTCAGGAATATCATGAAGTACGAGGGTCGCTCATTAAGTAATGCCCCACATTTTTTTTCTCAGCCAATAATGAAGATAGAAAAGTGCACTTTTACATGCTTGAGATTTGATGTTTCCCGCGGTCGTGTACGGAGTTTCAAATGATTCCAACCGATAGCGGAGCTGTAGTGAACTGTTAAAATGGCGTCTGTGAACGACTCTCGTTACAAGCAACGAGCTGTAATTGAATTCCTTGTTGCTGAAAAAGAAACGGTGGTGAACATTCATAAACGTTTGTGTGCTGTGTATGGAAGCTGTGCAGTCGATAGGAGCACCGTTGGTCGCGGGGCTAAGAGAGTTAAAGCTTCAGGAAGTGAAGAAACCGAGCTCCGTGATCTGCCGCGCTCTGATTGCAATTATCCGGGCTCTTGCATATTCGAAGGTGTGCGCAAGATGGGTTCCACGAAGTCTCACAGCAGACCACAGGATTCAAAGGAAAACGATTTCTTCTGAATTGTTGGAGCGTTTTGATGCTGAGGGAGAGGTCTTTCTGTCCCGGATCATTACAGGTGACGAAACCTGGATACACCACTTTGAGCCAGAGACAAAAAGGCAGTCAATGGAGTGGCATCATCCTCAATCACCGAGAAAGAAGAAATTCAAGACAACTCCCTCCGCCGGAAAAGTCATGATGACTGTCTTTTGGGACAGTGATGGGGTCATTCTTGTGGATGTGATGCCAAGAGGTGCGACCATCAATTCAGACGCGTACATCAGGACCCTGAAAACCCTCAAGAAGCGTTTTCGACGAGTTCGGCCTCACAAGCATCCAGCAGAAATTTTGCTCCTGCACGACAATGCACGCCCTCACACAAGTCTGAGAACCCGGGAAGAAATCACCAAATTGGGTTGGACGGTGCTACCCCATCCACCCTACAGTCCAGATCTGGCACCCTCCGACTTCCATCTCTTTGGGCCCCTTAAAGATGCTATCCGCGGAACAAGATTTGAAGATGACGAGAGCGTGATTCAAGCAGTGAGGACATGGCTACGGGGACAGGACAAGAGCTGGTACCGGCAAGGCATGCATGCCCTTGTTCCACGCTGGCGTAAAACCGTACAAGTTGATGGGGACTATGTGGAAAAATAGTATGTGTAAAGGAAACATTGATTTATATTGTCACTAAATTTGAGCCATCTTGAATAAATATGTTCTGAGGAAAAAAATGTGGGGCATTACTTAATGAGCGACCCTCGTATATATTCCAGTGCAGTATCTTTGATTTCGTGGTGCATTGATGCCCGTTCTGAATATTTCTGTTTTTCAGAGGTTAGTGGCGTTGTGGTGCTGTACAAGAGGGCCTGCCTCCTCAAACCCAACATCTCAATGTTCTGACACAAGGGAATATGGGACTTCACTCGTGGACGAACTGAGTTCTCTTCTGCACTGTCCCGCTACGGTGAAACACAACACATGCATCAAGGTAAAGTAGGACACGTGCAAAAACAATTTCCAGTAAATCAGTTGTTCTGGGCAGTGAAATATTTGTGAGACACAGTTGATGTGATTACATCAATACCAGAAAGCTCGTATAATGTTGGCTGTCGTTTTAATGGCTTCTGTTCTTATTTTTGAGTCTCTGTTTTTCATACCCGTGAAGTCTCCCCAAGGGGAATAAGTTACTCATTCGTTTTAAATTAATTTTTTAATTATTCATCACGTATTTAACACTCCCGAATCAGTGTCCGAGTTACGTAGCTCAGATGAGAATAGGTGAGTCGGGAAATTTGTATAAAAAGTTTTCCATTCTGACATTTTCAGAAGAAAAGTTTCCTTTTTTTTTCTTTCATGGTGACATAAATTGAATTTTCTGGATGCTTAAATTGTCGAGAGATGGCAGGACTTTTTTTTTCACCTCAAAAGATACGTGTTAAAAAATACGCTGTATTTCTTCTGTGACATGATAAGTGATGGTATGTTTTTAAATTTCAATCGACCGTGGTCATTTACAACTATAACATTAAAAAGCGAAAACCAAAACTTATAACTGGAGTTTAATTTAAAAAAAATAACTGTCTTTCACGGGTGTTGCCCTGCGTAGTCCGGTAGAAATTTGCCGACGTTTCAGACGTGCTTACTGTCTCCACCATCAGTAGCTTTGCCTAACCTAACTTTTTACTCGACATGTAGGCGAATGATTATGACGCCATAAATCGTTTTCATGAGCTACTCACTCCCTCCACACGAGAAGTAATTTTCATTCCGCCTTGCATTGATCGCTACAGCCTCGTTTCTGGTGGCGGATGGTATAAACGATGCGCATTGCTTGAGGTCGAGGTCAGCATTAAAAATTTTTTTCTGTTTGAGTGCTATAATCACATTCGCTTGGCAAACTGAAGAAAATTTCGGAAGAGAATCAGTCGTGACATCTGACACGACGAAGCTGAAAGTTGAGTTGTATTCGCTGAGTATTGAGGTTCTTAAGTTCCTTTGTGAAGTAAATTATTTTATCACAAACAGTACTGGAATCAGAGATAATATTAAGGCAAGTGTTTTAACTCATAGTCTGTAACCGCTAATCAATCCCTTTATTGGTTTACGTTAATTCTCTACTTATAATTAATCCAACTTTTACGTGCTAGGTGATAAGGCTTGTTATTATCCACTCATTGTCGTGTTTTTGTCGGCTTGAACTTGGACCCGCCCCAAGTTGGAGTTGTTGTTACATTTATTGTTGGGGCAAAGATTTAAATTTTAACGCTGGCCTTGTAATCCTGGGGTCTCGGGTTTCGATTCCCGGCGGTGCCCGAATTTATAACTTGTGTTGGGCAAGGCCGTGGTCTAGGCAACACGGAGTTTTCCTCCGGGGGCTTCCCCGGTTTCTCCGTGGCATCCCAACAATTACTCCATTCACACACAGAAGAAGGCAATGGCAAACCACTTCTGGATCATCTGCCAAGAACGTATATGAACAGGTCCCAGTCCGAGTCCGAGAAAAGGATGGAAGGATCCTGTTCATATGGACCTGTCGTCAGACAGAACACTAAATAAAAAAAGCATGTTTACGGTAAACGAAATATGAGTTTTGCCGACTGTTGCAACACAACAATTTGTGAGCTTGGGAAAGGTGGACGTACGTGCGGAGGTGGCTGTGATTTGTACGAGGATTGTGAAATTAATAAAGTGGTTGATTGATTTGCTACGAACTGGCCGTGAACACAACTCAGATGAGTCGTTGCCTACCGACTAGCTGAGTGAAGCAAATATCCCCCTGAGATCCCGAAGACCCAATATATTCCACCAGTTACACACGGTCCGGGATGGACTGCAGTGTGTGACCAGCCACAACTGTGATCTACCAGTCCGTGGAAGCGAACGGTTTACAAGGCCTAAATCACAAGTGTGGGCCCTAAAAGCATTTGAGGGCAAGTTGAAAGCCATGAAATGGCAGGTCGGTTGTGCGAGCTTCTATTATATCAAATACCTCGTGATTTACAATTTTACAGACACTGTCAGTAGCTAAGACAAAGTATCAGAGAGTGATACGATGATTAATGAACAATTAATTGAAAAATATTGAAGGAAGCGTTCGTAGTCTAATTTGAGGTACTATCCTGCCGTTGTCATGGGGGAAGGAGGAAAACAGCAGTAAACATTTCGAGATGGCCCGTTTCGGAGCCGAGATTTGAATCGGGTACCGACCAAATGCGAAGTAGGAGTACTACCCACTTTACTTCGACGTCCGGTAACAGCCCACAATGAGAAGTCGTTTTTAAAAACTGGGGGCTACTCAGCAGGCTAACATATCTCGCACGTTTGTACAGTGCGAAATTTTATCGCATTGTTTACAAAATCCTGCCTTTGGACCAAATCCTGAAGTCGGTGAATCCAGTCCACAGCCTCACATTCTGTTTTTTTCCCCAAATCCACTTTAATAGCATCCCACCTCTATTGCATGCATCTGCCAATACCTCTGTTGCCTTTAGGTTTTTAAAACAAATTCATATTTTGGTGTTTAATTTGTTTTCGTCTCCACATTCCTGTTTCCATGAAGTTGCTTCATCTGAAGATATAAAAAGTTCGCTTGGATTAATATCTTATTATCTGTCTCCTCTCTCTATCTCCCTATCTCTGTATATAATTCCTTATCGCTTTATGCGATTAGGGAAGAACGAGCAAATAGAGATCATTCCAGATAAATGCAAGATAAAAGTTGCATATTTGCTTAGGCCTAAACTGACATTAGCCTCAAGGTCATTAATCTTTGTGCAGTGTGATATACGTTCACCATAAAAACATTCTAGAAAGTGATACTTGAAGGTGCAATATTTTTACTGCTATTGCCCACCCCTAGGGGTTACTATTTGAGTTTCACGGTGTCACTGAAGTATATAAGACAATGGCTGAATAAAATGTTTTATTTTTTACACTGCACCACTACACATTTAAATCGTCTTAACGGACAAATTCTAAGTTCATGTTACTCACATCTGAAATTTGAATTAAAACTACTACAACACATGAAACTCTCTCTTTAACTGCACCGGAGTTCGCTTTTGCGCTACACTGAAGCACTAGGTGGCAGTACCAGCTGAAAGCATCTTTCTGCTGTTTTTAAGCAAATTGCCTGACCACCATTTCCCCGTCTTCCCCTATACTGCTTTGAAACTGGATTGGTTTTACAGACCCTGTGATCTGTTCCACTACACGTTGCTATCGGTTGTGATTGATGTGGAAAACTAAGTAGGCCTACGATAATCGGGATTGTGTGGTTGCGCAGTGGTTGTGATGCAGCTGTCAAATGTTAAAATCTCGTTAGTGTTAGAAACCCACTTTACTTTCAAACCCAGACAGTGATGTGTCTAGACAGATTTGTGAGCGATAATGGGTTGTATCTTATTCAGCTCCAAACTATTTAGATGAGTTAGAAATTACTTTTATTCTGGTATCGGGCGAGGACGCTGATTGGAAGTTGCCGAATTGCAGAGAGCTTTGCAGGAAGGATACCGATAGCTAAACTTTTGGTAAATACCTATTTATGTTACGTTTTAGGTTTTCACGGTGGTGAAGATCTTGTTATTAGTTTTTTGATTGTAACGCCGTGTGGACTTTCAGGAAGTAGGATAATCATATATAATTATTTTATTGTTCAAATTATGTTGAAATAAGCGAAAGAAAATTAAGTTCGCCGATTTGTTTGTTGCATCTGTATTTATTTTCCTCATAACTCTCTTCTCGTGGAATGACAGTGCGTCATCGAGGAAGAAGAACACGTGAATCTGTTGCCGGTGATAAAATCAGATTTGCCATGTACGTATTCCTCTTTGCTAGTTTTGCATCACTGATTCTCTTCACAACATCGTCTCCGTAGACAGCTTTCGGCCTTTTGTGAATGTTTTCCACTCGTCCTCCGCGGACTGAAAATGAAAAACACTGTTTTGCTTGTGGTCACATGACTGTCATCTGCCACATTCCTGGGGCTGTGTCAGTCGACGTGTAGTATGTAGAAGCGGAATATGAAATCATATACCACCACAAGTTGCGTTTGTTTTCTTGAGTGAATTTTCTTGAATGAAACTGGAATGGGTGATTATTATCTGAACGACTTTCGTGCGTTAAGATAAAATGAAAATCTGTCGAACATTTAATAATTTGATAAAAATACAAAGAATCGTGTTTAAATCTATAGGAAAGGAAATATAATTTAGTACACGCTGCTCTAAAATACAACTAAAGTATTAGCACATTTATTCGTTCATGAAATAGTAAATTAAAAAAACGTTTACTTGCAAAAGTTGAGCATTTCGAATTTAATAGTAGATTAACCGGCGGTCCGGCCAACATTTGAAGCGAGAGAGTCATGAATATAAAGTCAGGCAAATTAAGTTTAAGTTTAAATACAAGGTCCTCATTTGTTTTATTTCATTTCTACAAACTTCCAGAATATTTCCAATGAAACAGACGTACAGATTGCCACCAGATTCTGTCTGTTGTGTACGAGGTGCGATCGAAAGGTTTCCAGACTGCGCGTATAAAAACCCGTACACTTATCTCAGGTATTAAATTCATCCATCACCCTCGAAGTAGTTCCCCTGGGAGTGAACACAACGATCCCAGCGCCGCTGCCAAGCCTGGAAGCATCCCTGGAAATCTTTCTTTGTCAGCCTGTCAAGCACCATCTGCGATTCTGCCTGAATCTCTTCTATCGTCTCAAATCTCCTTCCCTTTAGCTGAATTTCATCTTTGGGAAGAGGAAGAAGGCACACGGCGAATAAGGAGGGTGCGGCCATTTTTAAAACGTGAATGCCACACAAAAGTTTGTGCACGACCCATTGCGGACTCCCCAAATGCTTGCTTTAGCATTTCATAGGTTTCCGTAGCCATTTTGGCGAGCCTTTGGCAAAATTTGATGCACACGCCATTCCGAAATCGC